CACAAAACAGACTCCTTACAAGCTATAATTTGATCGTCAACCTCTGCGAGAGAATTACAGTGTCAGCAATGTGATAAAGTCTGGACAACATTATCGCTAAACGTGTTTCCCTATGATCCCAGTCGCTTTCTGTTCTGTGAAAATGTTCCAAAATGTGTTGAGTGTATCGAAATCGCAGATTAATTACGCACGAAAAGAATTACAACCTTTTGTGATTTGAAGGTAAGCACAGGTACAGCGTTAACTGTTGTACAGCTAATATAGCAATGGCGTCATATAATGACCTCTATTATCCTCTTAACTATTTAAATGATCGTAAACTCTCTGATATCTAATGCTGTCTATATAAATTAACACGTAATAAAAATTTGATTAATTGTATTTGTTAGACATTTTACATTTTACCTGAAGATGTCATGTTTGGACAAAGACTATTTAATCCGTTGTCTTAATTGAACAAAATTTCATTTCGATATTGGCTTGTCTTGATCTGAGGTATCATTTATACTTTTATATAATTAATATAAATTGAAATTATTTCAGAGTAAACTTTTTTTAACGTGTTAATACTATGATAAAAAAAATTCTAACATTAGTCAAAGTAGATAAGATACATAAACAAAAATAAAATTACCCAAACAATGTTTATGTGCACATTAAAATCATTTTTTTTCTCGTTGAAGAAAATTCAATTAACAGAACTATTGTAATAATGAAACCGTAAGTTTTCCACATTTCAAATTAGAAAATCTGTTTAAATAATTTAAAGAAACCTGTTGCATATCTTCATTCTAAATACAATAGTTGCATGTTCCATCTGTCGCTCACAATGGCAAATTCGCGGATCGTATTATTTTCTGCTGTATAATTGTCGCTAATGAAACTGTGACGATGCACATCTTAGAATAGTGACGGGTCAATTGTTGCTCTACGAACGCACAATAAACGTTTATTAAGCATACTAATGCGCTGTATGCTTTCTCTGTTAATAGTTACATACATATGTACGACTTGATATGAACGAGCGGAATCAGCAGGCGACACGATATCCATTTGAAGCACAAATTAAGTTGTGTATCTGTCGTACGATGGTTATCGTATTATTGAGTTATAGTAAAGTATCTAACAGTAGTTATTCAGAGAATCGAATTATATACTCACATATATGATACAAGTTAAAAAACAAGATAATTTTAACTGTTTACCCTATAACAACATGTTAGACTCGTGTGATGAAGATTTTAAACAGAATTTAACAAACATAAATATTACTTAAAATATTACTCAGTTCTTTTGAATCCAAATTAAATATTATTCTTCTGTTATCAATTATTATATTTCAGAGTTAACGTAGGCATATAAAATGCCTAGACTTCTGTTTCTTTTTCAATAAATTATTAATAACAAAGTAGTAATAGCAAATAGCACATAAATAAATCGTAGAAAAAAGAGTTAACTCTCCGTCGCCACTTGGTTGGATTCAAAAAAATTTTAAAGTGTGATGTTCAATACTCAATGTTGTTGTTACGATGTGTTAATATTTAAAATATTGTAAAGATATAATTTTATTCCTTAATTCATATATCCCTTCAGGTTATTTGCAAAAAATCTCATCGATATTTCATAAAAATGTCGTAGGTACCTATTATTTATATGTGAACGTAACTAATGCAAATTAATTTTACTTTCTTCCTCCTTACAGATTAAAGAGTTTTTGTATTTTAAACAAATTGAATTCTTTCCTATGTTGGTAAAATTATTGAAGTCGATTAAAGTGATTAAGCACATCATTAATTAGATACTCTATAAACGTGTCAAGGTAATAGTGTAATTTAAAATCGACAAACTATACAAAGTCCATTTTCCTTATTCTACCTTCCAGGACATTGGTACTCTCATCAATCGAATCTTACAAGTTCTGAGGTTTGTCTTATATCCTCTGATACTTTCTTTTAGAAACAGTTGCATTAAAGTTTGATTTTTAAATACAATTACATAATAATAAAATATACATTTAAAACATAAAATAAGAATACAGTGATCGAAGGAAAACATGTCTCCAATTCCACTCGCAAAATCTCGTTTTACTGGTATCACTGATCTTATTACTGTCAACCATATCTCTATTACTGTAAGATGATAAAAATCCTAGCATTTGCATTTGACTTGTATATTTCTAATTCGTCGAAAATGCGTTACATTACCTTTATTTCCTAACGCAGAACATACGAAATGCAGTCACGACACATGCTTAATCTATACAGGATGTTAGAATTCAAACTTTCTAAAAATTTGTATCCTGATATTACTGTAACTTGAGAAATGATTCGAAATTAAAATTATAATGATTTTATATTAGTATTTTATTTATTATAACATTCTAATAGAGTTTAAAATTTTTTTTTATAACAGAAATATTTTTTATACACAACGTCAGTGATTCCACAACCTTATAAATTTATATTTCATTACTCGATTACGAGTAAGTTACTTTCAATTAAATTCAATAAATCGATATCTTTAATATCTTAATATGTAATAGAAATTTTTAATATTTTTAGAGAGTCTACTATTTAGATAAATCTACTTAATAAAATATTTCGATAATCCATTTAATGAAACCTCCAAAAACTATTTTACCTTTCGTCCACAAGTAAAAGCAAGGAAATGCATATCAACAAGTATAAATTTATTGCATGTATTATCAATAATAAATATCAAAAAACGCTTGTTAATGAAAGAAAATTCTTATCCTAATTAATTTACCGATTGTAAGAAGTGTGCTACTTTTACCAGACTTCTGGCAACTGTAAACATCAGATTGTATTTTGATTAAAACATTCGGAGTTTCACGATTTCACAGATTTTTAGAGAATATTGAATTTCACGGGAAGACTGCAGCATACAGAGAACGTCCTGATAGATGGATAGAGGCTGATATCTATGGTGAGAATCAAGTGCAAATTGGAAAGTCTTAATTAGCCCTCGTTTCAAATGTACATATATACCAATGATAACGTCGAAAGAGGAATGAAGTTTCTGAATATCAGTAAAGATAAAATTTGTTTGTGTTTGAAACATGCTATTTACAAAACTTAACGTGCATCTTATCAGTTCTGCAATTAATTTTGACGTGTCTTTCACATTATTTAGTACATTCTAAATAGCATATTGGGGTTAAAAAAATTAGTACAATTGTTTTTGTATTAAAATTAACCTAATTCACTTGCTTATCGAATTAGATCAACTTGTATGAATGAAAGTATTTTGATTTAATGTTTCTATTAAAACGAGAATTAACTGGCATACAAAAATATAAATATACAAATAATCGTGCAAAATAATTATTTTATCCTGGAAGCAAACAATTTTTAAATATCCTAAAATTTTACGATGTTAAACTCGATAATAAATACATCAAATTTTTTTATAACTAAATTTGAAATAATAATTAATAATAATATTTGAACAAAAGCACTTCCTGATAAAAAAATGAAAAATTCTGTTTAATATTTTTCACTATATATTCTTTTTAAAAGTAACTATTCGAAATATACTTATTATACATCGAAATTCATTCTATAATATCATTCTATAATAGTTTTCGTTTATTTGTTGTAAGTATACAAGAAACATACAACATTTAATGAATACTTCTACCAACTTCTTATCTTAAATGAAATTAAAATATGTGTCGATTTAATAAACTTTATCGCCAATAAGATGTTAAAATGTATAATTGGTATACTTTCTTCTAATTGAATCGAGGGGATACTAGAGTCGAGAACATCGGCAGACTGAGGAAATTCCATGCAATCAGGATCAATTTCAACCAGTTAATTTTAACCATTAAGTACAGTGTAATTCATTGTTGTGCTAATCAATTGCTAGGATTTCTTAACCAAACCCTGTTTAATACTTAAATCCAATTGAAGAAATTGTTATTTTTTTTACATACTTTCACTATTCATAAATACATTTCTACCCAACGTATAGGCTTCGATCAATGAATCTAGAACAACTCGTAGCGAAAATCGGAAGAACGTTTATCAACGTATCTTAAAGAGTGTTTCATTTATTATGTTAAAATTGATTGGATTAAAAAATAGAATTTAGAAAAAACGTTTATTCACAAGAATTTTAAATTCTCCATACTTTCAATTGTTCATTATTAAATGCAGACACATAAAAACATTATATAAAATATAATTCATACATATGTATAATAAATGAGATAGGCAAAACTTAGTATGCCCCTATAATAATTTATTTCTGTTATACATTTTTTCTTACTTTCTCATTTCAATATTGTGTAATTTAATATTATTGTGAAACAAACATTAAAATTCTATTTATGAAATGAATTTTTTATATTATCCTTCCTTATTTCTGTGGTTATTATAACGCGAATTGGAAGATTATTCTTAAAGAAAAAACTGTCAACGTGTGATCAACACTACGAAAACTTAAATCAAAATTAACGAACAAAAACTTGTGATGAGAGGTACTGAAGATATTAAAAATGAACTACTCTTTGTCAAAACATAAAAACTTTCACCATTATTCGTTAACTGTATAAATCAAGAAAAAGAATTACATCATTATCGATCATTCTTTCCAAGAAGCTATAACCAACAGACTCTGCTAATTGTAGTCTGCAACGCTTTAAATTGAATAACCTGTGCAGCAGCGGTGGCATAAAAATAGGGAGAAGAACAAAGAAATATCAAAGTAGGAAAGGAAGTCTACTTCAAATGGTGTCATTGCTCCGCGATCCATGAAAACAGAATTGGAGAAAGTAGAATTTCGCGGAGCCTATGAATTTTGTGAACAAAGAACAAACGACATCGCGAATTTGCTTTCTACGCCATTTCAACTACCCTTTCTTCAATATAGTTAGATTTACCAAAAACTGTCGATTCGTTCGAACTATTTGTTTTATTCAACGTTTTAAACAATTGCATTTTAAGCATTTTTCTCACTCTTTATTTTTGTTGCAGAGATGTCACGCAGAGAGAACGAAATGGATGGAATTTAGCACAGAAGCACTATGGTCTTAACAAGTAAGTTACGTATGCATACAATATTTTAATAAAATAGTATTTTGTATGCATGTTCGTTAACAAACAGTATACACGGTAAATATTTAATATGTTTATTTAAAACATTTCAAAATAAGCAGTTAAATATTTCATCATTTCTAAACACGTGTCATTGCAAGTCACAGGACTTGTTATTTTTGTGTAAAACTAACCTCAACGTAACGTAAAATATATTTTTACGATTATGCAATATTTACTCTTAAATAATACACGTTTACACTATCTATGTTGTATGTTGTAAGATAACGGAATCTCTTTTACACCTGCAAAACTAGTTCCACATTAAAGGAAATAAATACATATTCTCATTTACCTACGTGTTCTAGAACCACCTGTATATTTCGCTGGAAGAGTTCAATGTTAAGTCTGGTTCCGGTTCATTGTAATATTGTTAAACCTCGCTGACCACGAGAAAATAGCAATCATTATTACCACACCTTTCGCGGGAGATCAGTCATGACTGTCGATCGGCGTCCGTAATATTGTCTCGTGTAATACATATGTTGGTTAGGATTCCCGCGCTTGTATTTCAATCGATAACATAGTTCCGAACTTCACAAAACTTCCGATAAAAGTGATTAAACACTGTTTTTAGTAATTACTGTTTTTGTTTAGCAATTATTTTTAATAAATCTTAATATTTTAACGTATTCTATTTAAATAAAAGATTATTTAACTCTCTAACGAATTTAAATTTGGAACCTCCCAATCACGATTCCAAAAGTTGGATAGTAACCAATAACGTCTTTTCGTTAAAATTTTGGCGAATGTACTTACTTACATTTTAATATTCGATCTAGGATATGCGTAACCAGTGGTATTAGTGTTTCCAAGTTGCAAAAGAGGAGCTTTTGATTTGAAGTGTGACACGATTTTTCTTATTTCTAAAATTAAAAACAAACAAGTAATGAGACGAAATACCATACGATCGTAAGTGCTATATTTCTTCAACAAAACCAATAAGCGTCTTAACCTATTTCTTGACATATGACGAAAAGAAGAATTCGAACTGACAGAGTTTAGTGTAGTTCCTCTAATCGAATTTGTTCTTTGCTTGTTGCTTCGCATACTCACAATGTCTTTTACTTTAAACTTAAATTAACATTTTCGCATATTTTTGGCCACAGATGAATTAGCTGCCTTATGCATTGTTATGTTTGTATCCAGCAGAATGTTTATTCATTTTTTATTTGTTTTTCTTTGTTTTGTAAAATACCCAAGTACATTATCGTATCAATTTATCCAGCTTAAACGTGACTCTCAAACGTTGTATATTTGCGAAACTAATCTTATAACAAATACACACAAGTAGATATGAATAACGTATCATACGAGTATAAACATTGTAACCTATAAAAATACGGAAGAAATAAATGATACTTAGTGTTTCTTAAACACCATAATGTAGCTTCTCCAAACATGTAGCTCATTTATTATATATACTGATGTATATACTTGAATAAACGTACCTATATATTAGTGAATCTGTTCAGCTATTTTTCGGTTCTTGATAAAAACATAAATTAGAGAATAAAATTATCGCAAACAAAAAATTGGAATGAAAATAAAGGCTGCCGATTCTTCATAAAACTGTCCACAATAACGAAATGATTCAGAAATTAATTTATTCTTTAAAAAAAAATCTCCGTAACATTTAGTTGAGGAATATTTCGTGAATTTTCATTGAACATTAAAAATCACTAAATTTCATTTTAATAATTTTTTAATTAAGAGTATAATTTTTGAAACTCGTAAGAAAAGAGAAAGCACGTTTTTTAATCCAAAGGACATGTTTTCATCCCAAGAGACTGAAGAAGTAGCAAAACAAGAAAGATTTTTTGTTTCTAGCGAATCTTACCGAAATGCTCTACAAGCATTCATAGACCGCAGACGACCTTCAGACGACGTGGAGACGGAAGCACCATGTAGTCCTGACAAAACGAGAGCCGATCTCGTCGCAAAGAATAATAACAATAAATACGATAATGAACGCAAATCCCAAGAATCGAAGTTTGTTTTGCGTGGTATACCACACGTGCCAGCCTCAGAGATTTTTGAGATCGGCTGGATAGCGGGAACCGAAGACCGATACCTGGAGCTGATTTTTGCCGAATGGCAAAACACAAGAGTTTCTCTAAAAAGGCACATTCATCCGGAATGCAAAGATGCAGTGAAAGCTGACTTAGATGTACTTCTGTAAGTAACAATTAGCTACATTTTTGCTTCGTTCCTCTTAATTTAAAATTTATTCAACTATGAGCGATGATTATATTAAATTCTTATTTTAAAATGATTCTTTAACCCTTGTACAGTCGGCTGGGATTCGGGTCCCTTGAATGTTTGTATTGTTATATCTATAAATATTTTTTTATTATTATTTATTATTTTGTTTATATTGTTTAATTTGTTATTATTATTCATTTAATTTTATTGTTTACTATTTATTTCTTTTATTCTTATTCTTATTTTTTGACTAAAATGTAAAACATGAAAATAGAGACTCGCAGTGTCCGATATGCGAGAATTAAGAACTTTTAGTTAAATTGATGATGAGATATAAAAATGATTGAGTGATAAATAACTTGGTTTCTTAATAAACATAAAATAATTAGAGATAAAGCAAAGTAAAAATAAATTTTCTTTCTTTTCGTTGTTCAGGGAAATCCCACATCCAAACGTGATACTTTTGATGGGCGTTACTAATACGGACGACCACGGTCTGGTCTCCATTTTCGAATCCGTCGATTGCACCCTTTACCATTACATACACGAACAGGGTGAACGGATATCAATACAGAGCATTGCAAAAAGCGTAGGAAGATTATCCGATGCCTTACGACATTCCCATGTCCTCGGATACGTGCACACTGCCATCAGCTCGCACTGCGTCTATCTGGCTTCTAGCGGCATCGTCAAACTCGGTGGATGGGAGTTGGCTATGCACGTCGATAACGTAAGTACCTATATAAATTTATCGTTTACTATCAAATGGAATTTTGTAACAATATATAATAACAAAATATTTATTATTTCGCTTACATGGTAATTGTCCTGCGATCCCGCGTTAGATTAACCATATATTCAAAATAATGTTGACCAAAAGAGAGATACACATGAGACATAGATTATTTTTTAAAAATTGCATTAATTTATGTGAAGATAATATGCAATTCGTTTTTAAAAATATTTATTAGATTAATGATTAAAAACCAGATAAGAATGAAAAATATGTGACTGATACTGTATATATTTCATGTATACTTTTATATTTACAATTTCTTCTTTAAGACTGATCATTTTCTCGTTTAACAGTGAAAAATATGTAGGGGCAATAAACAGTTTATGACTCTATAAAATTTATCAATGACATTTTAAAATAATAAATTTTATAATTTTCTTTTAATATTTTAAAATGTGTATTAACTATCCATGAATCAAGAATAACAAGAAGAATCTTGTGAATAACGATCGTTTAAATATTAATAACAATTTTTGTATGCTTCTCGCCGATACAAAAGCACTTTTAAAGGAATCGACAAAAATCTATTTAAAGACTATTAAAAGTCGTAAATTGAATTGTCTGTTTCATTACTTTTTCCATAGTGGCTGGTATTATTACTATTATTGCAGATAAAGAGCTAAATTAACAATAATAAAACAGTCATTTGTACTTTAATATTTAATATACAACCTTTGGATCGTACCGCTTTCTTCAGTGAATTTTAGATTGGCAAAATTTTAAGGAAATGAGATTTATAATCTAAAAATTTTACTATATGTACGTTTTATTAAATTTAATATGTAATTTGATATTAGAACAGATTATTTAATTGTTTAGAATAGTATCTACGCGACTGAACTTGTGTGAATACGTCCTCATATCCGTCGTTCCATTGGCGCACCCAACGGTACTTCACAGCAGGAAATTGTCGACGTTGTTTCTCACAAAATGTTCATTTTTGAATAAATTCACTGTACCGTAACATTCTTAATTGCATTCGCCGGCTTAACCGTTGAAATTCGCGTAAATCATAGACAATAGACTGTCAATTCTGACGTGGACATTATTTTTGGACGGGTGACTCGCCTCGAATATATTTTTTCATTAGTTTGATAATAATTATTTTTCTTGCATAATAATTGCGCTGCATATTATTCAATACTTTGCATTATGTTCAGTTTTCTTATGATAGTATTCCACGTAATCTGTATACACTTAGTCACAATATTGAACATTTATCGGCTTAATTTTTTGTACTGGAAACAGAAACAATCATTCTCATATTTTGTGGATAGTTATCTGTTAAATATTTATTAATTAAAAATAGAAAAATTCTACCACCGGAAATTGTACCATACGAAAGTTTATAAATAGCTATCAGTAATCTAGTCAAGAAAATAAAAGTTATTATTATAGTAGTTACTTATCATATTCAGTAAAATAATAATAATAATAAAATATAATAATAATAATCATAAAAACTATTTACAATCATGATTTCATGATGTTCTGTTCATAAAAAATGTAAACATTTTTGTCACTGTTAGAATATTTGTTGAATTTTATTTAATGAACAAAGTAGTAGGAATTTGGATATTGTGTATAAATCTTTGCATCTCTTTTATAAATCAATAAATCATAAACATTCGATTGGTTTACTTTTAATTTGAAATATTTTAAATAGAAAGTGTGGTTTTCAAGTTAATTTTATTTTTATTCATTCATTTTATTTTAAACAATTTTTATTTCATGTATAACTTTAAAATAAAGAATAGTTGATTCAGTTATTAAACAATTGGATATTATTGAGTAGTGAATTTAATATTAAACTGAGAAAATGGATCAACAATTTTCAAATAGAAAACCGCAATGAAATGCGTAAATCACCAATGTAAAATAATATTCACGTGATGTAGAAGAAAGTATACCCATAAAATGAACGGATATTGAAGAATTCAACGAATTTTACACATTCTTTAAAGAACTTTTATAACCGGTTCACATGACTTTTCTTTTCATAGAAACAATCAATATTGTTTCGCGTCGTAATGGGTTGAACGTATAATTTTAATAAGTACATTGCATTGTACGCGTTGATTATAGTGAAAGTATATAAAATGCTTAATTAATCATGCACAATAGAGAAAGTTTCACGATTTTCATGAATTATATCTCTTCAGTCCTTAAAGATACATAAATTTTATGTTTGAACCTTTGAAAATATTTTTAAAATAAATATGAGATATTTCTAATGCTATTACACATTTGTATATTTTAAATTATACAATATGACAAAATGATTCAAATTATAGGAGTTTAAGATTTAACTCTTCATTTTTTAATTTTGAAGACAATATAACTCAAATTTTTGAATCAGTTTATCAACTTAAGTTATATTTATTTTGTACAGGAAAGATTGTAATGAGCTCAAATACAGGAAACTTTATGAAAACAAAATTTTATTGAAATTATAAGTATGTTTTTAAGCAACAGTATTTTGATTTATACTTTTTCATTTTACGAGTATTTTTTTTATTATGTTTTCAATACAGCCGAAACCGAACAGGGAATACGAGGAGCGGTTAAGAAACGAAATTTTTCGTTGGCAAGCGCCAGAACTTTTCGAGAGTAACGAACCACGTAAAGAGAGCGATGTTTACGGGCTCGCCATGTTGATTTGGGAAATGTGTACAAGTAAGTGCTTCAATTGGTATTTTTAGTCTTCATATTCCTGAATTTGTTACAATTTCGTTTTATGAATAATTCAGAAAATTAAATTGATTAACTTCAGTTTCCTATATGTTTGGATTTTTATATTTCTTCGTACATTTATCTTCTTCTATTTCATATAATATACTATAAAATCACATTTTAAACAATTCATTATATAAAAGTTATTTCTCTATAAATTTAAAACAGGATTTTTCAGAGTGATTTTATAGTCAGACTCATCAAGTATTTCCTCTTTTTATTTTTCCAATCGGGTCCTTTTGATTTCCAAAAAATTCTTATATTGAAGAAGATTAATATTTTTATAATTTGTAATATTGTGTTTTATTGAAAATTCAGTTTTTGCCACCGTTTCATCTACACAACGAGAATAATAATAATATAATTCATAAACTAGATTTACTTGACAATTTCTTTACCGTAAAATATAATATTAATAATGAGTTAATTAATTATACTATTTTAATATATGAAGTCCCATGGTAATAAAAATTCAACTCAATTGATGCAACCATTAGTATTTTGAAGTTTGAACAGTACGTACTTGATTTCCTTTGTGCCAAATTTTATAAATGGCAAATATTACGTATCTACTGTGCATAATGAAGGCGATATAAAATTGCGAGCATAGTATGCGAGGAATGCGTTACACGGATTTCTTCAAGTGAACCTGAACTATTAAGAGATTAACTATTAAAAGCAGAAATTCCACTAGAAGCTCGATATAAAAATGAAACAGGTTTAGAGCAGATAAGGAAATGAAATTACATTCCCAGAAATTTCAATAGACGTCGTGCCGTGGAATATGCATTTTCCTGGATATCTAAATTTCTTATAAATGGCAACAAAATTTCGTTCCAAGTTCCCTCAGTATAATATATATTCCTAGATATAATACATTAAATGGTCTACCCTCTTTATTTTTGCAAATTCAAATTTGAGAGCACACTTTTAACATCTGCCAAGACTGTAAAGGTTCAGTTTGAACGTTTTCTTACTTTTTAATTAAAAACTGATAATATATCTCTTCAGTTCTACTATTTTGTTTGAAATAAATAAAGGAAATAAAAAAATATACATGTTTTTAATTTACAGGCTGTGTTAAATGATTAGTTGTCGTTATAGAGTTAATAGGTACATACAGAACAACACTGGTTTAAGTATAGTTATCTAGGGTTAATACTTACAAATAAACTCAAGTATAATAAAACCTCAATATTTGTATAGGAATGAGCATAACTGCTCATTATGTCGGAAATACATAATACATCTGTTATGTGTGTCCAATAAAACATGCATTAATTTTAAATAAGAACATTAATAATTGTTTTATTGTGGTAATTAAAAAGTTGTAGCCTGTTATCTTGGTTTTCACGATGATGGAATCTTGACATAATAAATAAAATGTACAGAATTATTAGTTTCTAAATTATAAGTTTCTTTCTTTTTCAGTTGAACATTTAAGTTATAATGCCTCTGGAGTTATTTATGTATAAAATTGAAAGTCTACACGTATTATATAGCACTAATTTAAATAAGTGCACAGGCAAAAGTTTTAATTATAAATTAACCTAAGCTACAATAATTAATAATAAAATATCGAAATACTCATCTCAAAGTATTTCAGATATTTTTTCGTATATTCTCTTAGGCACTTTTCGAACCTTCCATCTTCAAAAATCTTTAAATTATCGCCAGCTTAAACCCAGCTCCGCTGATTCATGAAATTATAATAATTATTATATTATAATAAATTATAATAAATATGTTTTAAACTTATGAAAATTTTTATATATCGAGTTGTAAGAAATAAATCTGATTATATTCAATATTTTTAATCTTCATTTTAATCGTTTAAATTTATATTTTCTACATTTCTTAGATATTTTTGTATCCATGTTACATCCCACAAGATTGATATCAGTTGCAATTTAGTGTATTACGTTGTACAATTATCCAAAAATATATAAAACTTTTCTTTACGCTGTTCATAAATTAAGAACAAAAAGTGTTTAACAAACTAAGGAACCAAAATCATTTTTTGAAAGTCTCTAATCTTATGTAGAAGGTATTCATGTGTATTTTATATTCTAAATATTTTTTCCATCAAAAATATTAATATAAATGTGCCCTTAAAAATGAAAATAAAAGGTCAAAAAGATGATACACATTGCTATGTAACAATTTATGCTCCGCGCATAATATGCTAATTTTTTAAATATTTTCTCGATCGCTCAACAGTGCAGGTACCATGGAAAGGATATAGCAAAGTAGACGTGGAGCGACAATATGCACAACGGAAACGCGGTATCACTATGTATTTGTATGATTTTCCGCCCTTGCTTCACAATCTACTAGACGCTGGACTGCAAATCGATATTAACAAAAGGACGCTCGATATGAATCGAATGCGTAGATTTCTTCAAAGACTAGAGGTTTGTTTCTTTCTTTCTTTAAAATAAACTTGCACCTAAATCATGAATCCTTACACAAATTTAATGTTTTTCTTTATTACTCTACAAAGAAGAGAATACATCTTCTGTCGTATAATAACGAGTCAGTTTGGTAATGAAGGCATGCTGAATTTAACAACTGTTAATTTTCCAGGGGAGAAACTGTTATTCTGTATTATTATTAAATGTTAATGTTTGTAATATCCAGGCATGTGAAATACACATATAATTCCTCAGTCTAATGCAAAACTATTTACGATGAAATTAGTCTACCCCTTAATGGTGAAAGAAAACCATTTCCCAAAGGTGTAAAATTTACTTCTTTTATTAAACATTGTAGAAATTATAAAAAAAGTTAAATACTTTGTTAAGTCTTCGTTGATACATACTCTATTGCATTTGACATGCATGTGTAGTGTCAATCAGTGAATTGCGAAATATGAATTTATGTAATCTTTAATTCTCAAAAATTGTTGTAGTTGTCCGCCATACTTGCTTTATTCGTTTTAAAACAATTATAAAACGACTTATAGAATTTAACATAATTACATGATTATTGTGAACAGTGCATCTCTCCCGAAAGAAAATACAAATCCTATGAACACCTTATGGAAAATCACTATTTTACTATCCGTTCAGAAATGCTTGAAATAATAATGTATACGCGATTCATTAAGTAAAATATATCCCATGTGATATAATATTATCTTTTTACTGATTTTGTTATTACATGTACCGAATTTAATACTATATTTAGATGCAATACGAAGACGAAGATCCCATATATGTCGATCAGCACTCGAACAATAACAACGAGGCTGGAAAGACTTATATCCTGTCAAAGTCGAAGTCGTCTGCAATAGTAAGGAGTGAAAAATCAGTGCTAACAAGAAGTAGTTCAGCCAAACAATTGTACTCCGCGAAAACTTCGGAAACTTCCCCGACGAAACAATACTTAATCGCGAAGAAACTGGCGTCTAAGCAAAGCGGCAACGTGAAAACGACGGCGCATATTGAACCAATAAACATATTCAAAGACAACACACTAAAGAACATGAACGTGCTTTATAACATGCAGAGTAATTACAAGAAAAGCAATTGTTTATATTGCACATCAGAGGTCTCGGATACCGTTCGAAACGAAGAAACGAGTTCGATTGATTTTACGCCACCGTGGAACTATAAGTACAAAAAAGTTAAAGCCCCCGAGGAAAGTGTAGATTCCTGGATCACAACTATGTGCTCTCCGACATTAGACTTCACCGATGACGAATCTTATAAAGATGCCAGGACGAATTTAAAGCAGTTGAAGAAAGATCTGGCGGACAAGAGGGAACGCTTTTTCTATGAAAGTGATACGTCCCAAAGTTCTTCGATTCCAAGTATGTATTGTACTTCATGAATGTCAAGATCAGCAGCATATGTACCCTTGATTTTAAAAATGATCTAAGTCATTTCGAGCATTAAGCATCGTTTATTTTTTTGCAAGTTACACACAACGTTGAACACAACATTACACAGTCATAATAAATTCTCATTTTTTAAGACTAAATATTTTCTAATCTATTCAAACATAGACCTTTAAATATATGACTTAGTTCACTTTCAAAATTAACGGCACATATGTTTAACACTAGAACTACCAAAATAACTAGTTTTACATTTCTTACCTCACAATTACTGAAATTATACGAGTACTTGTATTCAATGTTATTTTAATAATTAATATTTTCATGTACATAATACAATGAATATCGTGTAGAAACTTGAAAGTATGTATATTTTGTGATTTTTATTATAAGGTAATTATAAATTACTTTATATATTTGATAGTTCTAGTGTTAATTGATTTCAAATTTGAATCGATTTGCCGAGTTATCAGAAAATGATAAATTTCACGAATAAAATTAATTTTTAAGGAATAATGATTGGAAATAATAAGAACCGACCACTTAATAACTTAGACGAATTTTTAAGATATTTAAAAAATTATCATATTAGTACATTAATCCACATTAATCCATAAACAATTATAATCTTATAAATTAAAATTTATTTCAATATGTACATTCCATCAGATCTCAAAGCTAAGAACAAATTACTAACGCAAACTAGGAGCAAAAACTACGAACCACATAAACCAGCTAGTCACAAAACAAGCATCGAACCAAAGTGTAATAAGTCCCCGGGCGAGTATGATTCGTCTTGTATGAAATCGTCGAGTTACCAGTACCGTAAGGTATAATTTTATGATAAATGTATGCGTGATAAATTGTCTGAACAAGTACACTAAAGCACGTTTTAAAAATGAATAAAAATGGAAAAATGTATCGTCCTATTTTAAATTATTTATTTCACTATAAATAATACTATAAAATACTATAAACATATGCACTTTTGTACGAAATGGTCAAATATTTTTTTATATAATATTTTTATACAGTAAATAGTACATGCAGGTATACCTGTTCAAACAATACACGTTCCATACTTTTTACAACGGTATTCGATTATTTTTCATGATAAGGAGATTAGTATATTTTAAACTTTGTCGTAGATGCCTTACTCTCACATGCCAATGCCCATTAAAGAAGCAATAGCACAGCCGCAAGTTTTAAATTCCGATCCACAAAGCTTTTTCGAAACCTCTTTGTGGAGAAAGGAAAAGTCAATTTGTTTGGCCAAAATGAGAAAATCATGTGGTGATGAATCGGTAAAAACTCACTTACTCGATCCTAAATTAATATTTTTATTCGAACAATGTTAGTCAATATAATCGATAAAATATTAAAACAGTGAAACAAGTCGAAAAAGCATTATATTATCATAAATGTTTTTTCGTAGTAGTATCGTAATATTTTTAATATAAATGTTTTTTTTAACTACAGACACACTATGCTCAGAGTACAAACAGTCATGCCACAGTTCCTAGTACGACTTTTACCAGAAACGCGACAATAGATTTAAACTCGCCGAAGCGTGACAACACATACATTCTAAATAGACAGTCAGAAGGTAATACATTTAAATATTTCTGTAATAGAAGCAAAATGGACAAGTAAACTTTTAGGAATATTCAAATTTATGCTTTAATTGAAATCCATAACATAGAGAAATTGTGTTTTTAAATGAATTCAAAAATACATCACAGAAACTGTATTTTCTAAAACATAAATTCAAATGTAATTAAATCTACTGTTAGATATCGAGATTTTAAAACATAAAAAGCCACGTAATAGCTCCATAGTATTTTGCCTTACACTCTTAGATAAATGTTTTATCAAAATTTAACTCTGAAAACAAAGACGTATCAATTAAATTTATTTGAACATATATAATGCCTATGGAATCAATCATATGTATACTATGCAGTGTCAACGCTAGATTTTATTTTAAAATGGATTACAATTCACGTGAACCCCGTTGAATTTTTCAATGTGATTTTATAACACACTCCTTCGTGTCTTTATGAACTTTAATCATTAACTGATTTATTATAGGAACAGAAACTAGTCAAGAAAGACATACAGCAATGTCTGAAAACATAAGTGATTCGACAGATACAACCTTGCAGATTCTAAAAGACGCTTTGGATCGTGCTACGAAAATTGTTCGCAGTGCCACGCCAAATTCTGACGAATCGTGTCCATCGCCTCCATTCAAAACTTACGAGAATTTCGAAATTGTTATAGACGATAATCAAATTAACAAATCCATTTTCGAAGATCTGTACGACTTGCAAGAAAGTAATGATAATGAGGAAATTAAAAGTATCGAAAAATCAACTGAGAGTAACACGTTTTTGATCGAAAAAAAGAACTTCGATGAAACGACGACAAAAGCAATGGACAGTATTGAAGTTTCGAAGAAATCTGAAAACGATATTGCCGTTAGCATCACCAGCCACGAAAACTCAATGCATTCGTTCGAAACAACGTTTGCCAGAAATTTCGTTTGTGAGTCCATTGCTGAGGTATCGAGTGAACATAATTGTTCTTACAACGATTCGAAATTGGATAAAACGTCTGAGTCATGCAAAAACAAAAGCACCACTGTTGAGAATCTGGAAAAATCTTCGGAAAATTTGGAAAATCTCATAACGACTAAACAAAGTAACAATAAGGAAGAGACAACTCCTAAAAAAGATCAAGAAAAACATAAAGCAACGAATCTTCATTTAATGTTTCTAAACGATTCATCGAACACTAAAAATTGCAATTCATGTCATCAAAGCGCTTTACCAAGGCGACGTTCTTTACCAGCGGCACTGAGCCAATTAAGACTAAGTAATAGTTCGGCGCTTGGCAAACTACCTATACGGAGAGGGGTAAGCATTAATCATAGATTATTTTTTTTTTATTAATAACAGCCATATCCAGTCTAAGGACAATTTGAAACAAGTACTTATTTTTAATCATTTTTATCTTCAATATATGTATATGTCTATACGTATGGTAACAATGGATTACCTATCTTTTTACTGCACGCATATATTGTAATATACGATTACCATAAATATAATATTATTATAATTAAAAAAGAGAGGAAATGATAAGGTAATCTTACGCATATGGTGTAATAGTTCTTCAAATGAAAAAATCAGTTGCTTTAATTGTAACGAAAAATTATTTCTATGTTTGAAAATATTAATCTTTTTACTCATGTTCATTAGAACATTTTCTTCTATTCGTCAAGTAGTACCTATCCTTGAAGTCTTAAAACTCTTTAACCCCCTATATTATAAATTAATGATACAGAAGCAGTTTATATTATGACTTATAAAATTATATAACCATTTTCTTACAGGATGTTCGTGATAATACCGTTGAAGATTTATATATAGATGACGAATTCGGCGACAGTTTAAATATTAATATGGTTTTGTTAGGCGAAGATGTACCAATTGATGAAGATTTCTTATCTGACATATCTAACTTAGATATTACAAAATAATAATCATCACTTTCATTATAATAATTTATTAAATTCTAACTTTAAAAAAATACAATAAATGTATTTTATGTTCATCTCATTGATATTCATATAATAGTCATAAATAGTACTATAATAATGTATAGTAGCATCAGAGTACTGTAAAATTTAAAACATATCAACACTTTTGTGTAAAGCTTAAATATATGTAATAAATAACACCATTTATGTGAAAAATATCTGATAACAAAAATAAATGATTTTAATATAAAATCTTAATTATAATTAATTTATATATATATACACAAATAAAATGTTTTAATTAATAGATACAATATTTAATGTGCGAAGATAATATTATATGTGCAATATAAAAGATACATGATATTGACAAAAAGAAAGAACTAGCATATCTGAAATAAATTTCATATTTCCTGCACCATATTTGCTACAGATTATGTAATACGTCGAAAAAAATTTTAGTACGTTTTTTAATTTATTTCGTTTACGAGAGCTTTCTAAGTATTAGATTCAATTAAATTGCTAAACCAAATACAGAGACAATGCAGTACATTGTCTTATTTTCCCAACGAACTGTACAACTACCATCAGTAGCATTATCCCAAAAACATGAACTTGCTGTATGTAACCCAGCTCCATTCTTCTGCATAATGACACAAGTAACTAAAAATATTTTTATTAGTGTAAAAACAAGATAATAATAATAAAAATAAGTATTAATAAATAAACACAATATCATACGCTAATGAACAAATCTCACCTATATACTTATATGGCTTTTGTAGTTTTGTAAGATTTCCCAAACATGCTTCAACAACATTAGATGTCCACTGATTTACTTTATTGTGCTGATAAGCATTTCCACCAATAGACATTTCAATTGCTTCCTTGATAATTTTGCTCACATCGTCTACCACAAACTGGGTCTAAAATAATAAAATGTAAGTAAAATTATATTTATACTTAATTTCTTCAACTACATGTAAATTATAAAATATTTCATTAATATAGAGTAAATAATTTACATATTCTAAAAAAAATTAGTTACAATTATTGTACGTATAAGTTGATATGTAGATAAATTTCAGACAAATCTAGTATTCATGTGACAGTCTGAAAGTGATAAAATTCAAAAGATGCTTACTAACCTCCTCTTGCATATCTTCCATCATCTTGTTTAATTTTTGTTAAATGACACACGAACGAACAATCTTTACACCAACCAAAAAGTAATTAATGCCTTCAATCAAAATGTAATTAATATAGTGATATCATGAATACCGATTGCTGTATCTTTTACAAATCATAGTTACAAATCAAAAAATGACACAAAATGTACATACATATTCTACTATATAACTTCTATTTCTTCATACCTTACGTATTCTTGATCATAAAAAATACCGGTATAAATAATTTAGAATACAATACTTTTATATCTGACACAAACTACTAACAAAATTCTCAGCAACTTTTGTACTACAAAAGTAAGTAAGTACAGACAACTTGACAGTGCTACCAACAATAAAAATTAATATCCATTAAATTAATTAATAATAATACCATAGAAGATAGGATCCTTATAGAGCTTGAACTCTAGCGTTCTCCCACAATCAATTTCAAATGCGCATGCTTACTCTGCGTTGTTTCACAGCAAGGTACAGGATAGACATAATATGCAATGTAAAATTTTGTCACATGTCACGCCTTATCATATCGACTAAGGCTGGTTTTGCATGGCAGCACTATAAATAATGGGAATAAAAATCAAAAATATTGAAATTTCAAATCACAATTAGTACAGTGTTGCGGATATAAAAAATTCAGTAACTTAAAACAACAATTGACACAAATTCAAACACAGTTGAACAAGAAGGAGAATAATTTCAATATTGTTCACTTGTAATTATGAACATAATGTAGAAGAATCAAATAAACGGTTCCCAGAACATAGTAAATAAACAAATTTCAATGATTTAGTTCTTAAAAAGATGAAAAATTTATTATATACTTGATTATTTACAGTTATTTAAAAATTTCAGAAAGAATTCGTTAAAATGTAATATTTTTTTTAATAATGAAAGGAGACTTGTATTTTGATATTTGAATAAATTCATTTTGTTAAAATTCATTTTGCTGAAAGTACAATATAAATCGGAAAAACTGTGATTTCGCTCTTTATTATTAAAAACTTATTAAAGTTGTAGGTTGAATAAGAAGCCATTGGTAAACCATAACCTGTTATGACGGAATAAAATATGCAGTATATATTTCTATACAAAGAAGAAATAAAAATGTTTCGCATGCATATAACAAATTGTTAACGGTATATTGTGCAACGGATTAAGCTCAAATTCTCCCACACTTTCGAGATATGTATGAAATATACATGTTTCCATTCAAAGTAATTTAAATATTTTAAAAGTAAAACTTTTATTAAATTATCGTCGTGAACATAAGGTTCCTACATATCATCCAGTGCAAACGGTTAAACGAAGCATTGTTTTCGATGGGGCGAGGTCAACGATATCGTGACTAACATCGGTAACCCTTAGCTGTAAATGGGACAGTCTCGACAGTACAAGTTTGTCGCAAACTCTGAAACTGTGAGGGCTGGAGTCTTCTATCGCGTATTAGTAGCTACTCCTGAAATCGCCTGTGCTTTCCTAGTCCTTCCTGGCCATCTCTTTGGCCACCAGTGACCTACTCCTAAATCCACCCTTGGTCACTAGTGACCGCACTGAGCAGTTGAGATCAATGCTCACCAGCGGTCCTTAGTTCAATCCGAGTTATGTATCGATTGCAAACAGCGATTTGTGTCGCGTCTTTTTTACCTCCGATCTCTCCTTAGTAGCCTCGAATATGCCTCGTGAGGCATACTTACCAAAAGGAACTAGGTACGCAGTAAAATAAAACTATTGCGTGTCTCACTTTTTGATGATTCAATGGCGTTGGGCACAGAAGAGTTCCTCTATGCCGCCGGAAGCCGGCGTGCTCGTCGCAACCCCCACTCTGCTGTCGTCACGAAGTGAAGGTACTTATGTACTTAGGTATTTAGCCCCTCAACAGTGTTCCCTCACTGCTTCTATTCTTGAAGCTGTCCGAGACTGGTATGTAGCAGTTCTATTTAGTGTTCAATCCACAGGTAAAAGTAGTATGGAGGGGGTAATTTTTGTGAGGGGAGTATCACTAGAATACCCGTGGGCACCAAGTTAGACACCCTTAATGTATAAAATAACCACGGTATATGTATCCTTTACAGCATTAATTCTCGGAAATTTTCAAAATCATTGTTTGAGTGACTTTTGAATTAATCTTATACGCAAAGAAAGTTCATCTTTAAAATAAAGGATCAAATTTCAACTGGGAGAAAAGAAATCTCCAAGGAAATAAGTGGAATTAACATAACATTGAAATATAGTAATAATACAATAAATAAATTTATTACATCATAAACACAAATTTAAATTAAGAGTATTGTCCAAAACATTTAAAAGCACAAATGTGGATTCAACGTTCGATTTGTACTCTCACGAAAATTTCAGGAGGAAATATAACCTTTTTTAAAAAAGTACATTCTAACACTGTAAGAACGTTCTATAATGACAATGCTGCCATCAAGTTTTTGATACGCAATATAAATCAAAAACGTTTTGATCTTTCTAATATAGCATATAAGGTGGAAGAGCCTAGGAAAGAGGAAAAATCAATATTTGATTACGTATTTACTCCACAAAAAGCACGTGAAAAACACGATTTTTTAGCATTTTATTTTAAGACATGGTGGCAACACAAGGTAAAAGAATGGAAGAAATTTATAAATAAATTTTGGTACGAAAAGGCTACGGAGTTTGGACCCAATATAGCAGCTGCTGTACTTGTTTTGAAATTTGGTGGAAGAGTGAAGTTCTATCATAAAAAAGATTGGTTCAAAACAGGTCAAATTCGTTTGCCATTTAACTATGATCCTGAATATATTGTAGAAGGATTAGACTTAAAGGCATATCCCATAGAATTTGAAGATCTTAATATCTTATGTAATCTTTTTCAACTTCGGTTGCTATGTCTCAAAGGATGTAAAACCATTGATGATTGGGCAATAGACAAGTTAGCTATGGAATGTCCTTCACTAGAATACCTTGATGTATCAAATTGTATAAATTTGACAGAAAAAGGATTAGTAGCATTATATAAAATGCCAAATCTAAAAAAATTAATTGTCACAGACTTTTATAACTCTGCTGCATTTAAGTTAACTTGTTTCATGTTAGAAGATATAAACCCATACTTAAAATGTGAAATACACACACCAGAAAGTAGTCTTGTAGCAGACAGCTGATAATTTTGAGAAAAATACTGTAGTGCGTTTATAAATTCAAAAATACATTGTATTATCAATATATAATAACTACATATTCTATTTGTAATAACTAAGTATTCCTTACTAATTTGTTCTTTTCCCTACGTTTCTTTATATAGTACAATTCTGCTTTATTTGAAATTCCATAAGTTTTTATATCTTCTTTATCGTCTATTAATTTTACGTTTTCGAAACATAAATAATATTTTTTCCATACATGCTTCCAACTTATTATTCTTTTAACATTCTCTCTCTTTAATGATAAAGTTGTATGTCGTTTAATAGCTTTTTTAAGGTCTAAAACTGTAGTATTATAAGGTGGTACCTGAATGTAAGGAAAATGAGATATTATCAAACTTTTCCATTGATTATTCAATGTATAAGATATTAGATATGATACATAAATATTACTTTTAAATGTAAAAAAAATAAATACAAAAATTAGAGAAAATATGTTACCACAACTCCAAGTTTTGGCAGTTCTCCGCGATTCAAGTATACAGTTATTGCTTGCCCTTGTGCAACTGCCATTTGAGCTTTAAGCTCTTCAATTGTCACATCCGCCGGTAAACCACGAAAGAGCGGATCACTTTCAATTATATTATCTATTGCTTCTTTAGTTAATTTCATTAGTTCCTCATGATCAAATTCTGGATTTTTATTTGACGTTTCTTCCTTTTGAAATAAATTTTCATTCTCTCTTGAATTTTCTGATTTGATGTCTTCGACTATATTTTGCATTTTGTTGGTGCTTATTTTTGTTTGGTATGTAAGATAAGAGAAGATAGAAATTAAAAAAAATACCAAATAACAATAATATCAATGTTGTGCTTCCTGTAATATGATGCGGTTGTATATATACGATAACAAAAAGTAAATATCATATACTTGAATGTGTTATATAAATATATATATATATATATATATATGTAGTTGACTAGGCAGCATTTAACCATTTTCCCTTACATTTGACGCATGCGCAGACGATATTTATTAGTGCATTGAGGGCGCAGTTGTCACCGATCAATCTCGGTTGCATTTGTATGTATGCAGTTTATTCTGCAATTTGGTGAGCTTTAGTGTGCTGTACTTCCATGCATATTGTGTTATTTTTCGTTAACATTTCTTGAAGCGTGGTGATTGTTGATTACATCGTTCGGAAGGTATACTAGTATTTAAATTCGAAGAGCATTGAAATCAACACATTTACCAAGATGACGGTCATCACAAAGGCTATTTGCGAAAAGAAGACGGATAAAATGGAAAAACCATTGTTTGTTGAAGAAAATGCAACGGTCAGCACTATTTTTAAAATTTTTGAATACAAAAATTCATTATGTACCTGCGTGCTTCATAAATTGAATATCGCTTGTTTTTCAAAACAAACATCAATTATTTACCGTTTTAATCATTCAGATTGTTGATTTTATCGGATATATTTGCTAAATAAATTTTTTATTACATATGCAGTAATAATCTTTTTTACTTTGTGAGAACTGCGTATATGATATGATATTTGATAATTATAGGTTGCATGGATCTGTATGCGTATAATCTATCTGTGTTATCACAGTTGTGAGATTATGTATACTTGACGATATCTTGAATAATATAAACGTTAAATATGTAATAAATAATATTTCTAAAAATTTGTATTATATAATATTTATAAATAAGTACCTTCTTTATTCAAGTATTTTTAAAGTAAAGGGTTTATATACCATTTATTATATTATTTAATAATTTATATTATACATTAGCTTTATAAAATATCTTCAATTTAAAATGAATAATTTGAAAATAAGTTAAATGTTTATTATTTGAATTATATATGAATACGTGTGTATAAATGTTTTTAGGATTTTCAAAGTATTTAATGTATATAAAAATTATTATAAATACAAAATATTTATTGTGTCATTGAATAATTAGAAAAATTATATCACAGAATTAAGAAATAAATATATATTGTCAAACAGGAAGATGCAAAGGGAGATCCAGAAGCACAAGTTCAGAAAACTGATGTGGGCGGGCATTGCATTATCTCTAGGAAAAATGTACATCGTTTTCATGTTACACCAATACCATTATTATTTCTTGTTGCATTGATGATTCTAATAATTGGTGTTACTGGAGGTCTATACATATATAGACAATATAGAACACAAATGCACAGATTTAGAACTGGATGGTATAGCATTCCCTACGATAGTTCAAACAAACCATATAACAATAATGCAGTTCATCAAGGATTATTAGCAGACTCTGATTTGTTTAAAAGTTTAACAAGAGTTGCAAATCAAGATGCAATGAATACTGAAAAAAATGTGGATAATGACAATAGGAAAAACTCATTTTTCAAGGAGCGATTTGAATTTGATTTAGAGAACGAGCATTATGAGAAAATTTATGTGCCTGATTTTCGTGGTGGACTTAGAGGCAGATTCATCTATGATTTTAACATTGTACGTAAAATAAATTATAACATTTTGAGAAAAAATTTATACAAAGTAATAGTATGAAATTTTTATGTGCATTATTATAGAACAAAACTGGGATTGTTGATATTAAGAGACAATGCTGTTTTGTAATGCCATTAAATCGTGAAAGAGTTTTACCACCACGTAATATGTATGATCTTCTAAGAAAAATGTATAATGGTAAGTTTCTTATATTTTGTGAAATTACCAATTTTTAATTTTAATTTTAGAAAGATTGATTTATGTTCAATATAGCTTTACATACACATCTAAACATATGTATGTAATGTTTTATACATGTGTGTATATATTTTATTAAACTAGGGGGAAGAGGAGAACATAAATGTTGTTGGATTAAAATGCTTGGAACAGAGAAAATTAAAAATACATGAAATTTTATTTTTATAGGTTTACATTAAGTTAAATTTTAACTACTTATTATTAATGTTAATTTATAATATTTTTCGCTTTAAGCGTTTCGATCTGCAGAAACAACATTTATGTTTTTAATCCATCCTATGTATTGTTGTTAGTTACAATCAGATATAATATATATTCCTGTTTTAAAATCATTTTGATTTGATATAAAAATTTTGATACTACATTAAAAATTAATTAGGATATTAGATTAAATAGGATATTCAAATCAAATAGGATAGGAATACAAACTCTGATTTTAACTATTTTAAATATTCCAACATCGATTTTATAATGAAAACTTCCCTTGTTAATTGATTATCTCATATAATTGTTTTTGCAGGTTATTATAAACTAGATACTAAAGTTGTTAGAGAAACAATGAGAGTAGTATTTCCGGCAATCACTGATGAGTCTGTTGTTGGAACATATATAGCTCATGAATGTCACGGTTTACCTATATATATGTTGACAACAGTAAATTCAAATGGTTAATAGCTATTATATTTAATATCATGTAAATGTTAAATAATAATTATTATGATTTATCTATTTGTTTATATTGCAGTTGTCAAACGCAGCATATCAAATGGTATATTTGGACAGTTCGCAGGAAAAACTATTGTAGAACTAAATATTTTGAACTTAGGTGAAGTTGATAAATATGAAAAAAGTTCAGAAAAATGAAGAAAAGGAATTTATAATCATTCATAATAGAATATTTACTACTGGTAGATCAACGTATAAACATATTATCCAACTCAGCAAACTTAGGTAAATTTTTCGTAAATACCTGGAAAATAATTCTTATTCCCTTTAATTGCTTTTTCTTTAAGGATTTTCCGATCAATAGCTACTCACTCTTAAACATACATTCACTTTCAGGATATTCTTAAGTCTTCCCGTCATTCCATACTTTAGCTTTGAATCAGTAAAGCTGTACTAACAATAAAGTATTATTAATTAATGTATATGTATTTAACATTTCATTAGAGTTGAATTCAGTAACAGACCAAATATACGTGTCTGATATAATTACAAGTCTATTATGTTTTAACACAAATTTAGTTAAGTTCTTTGAAACATTGATGGTGCTTATGAATAAGGTAAAAATGGATTTTCATGTTTGTTTACTTTTTATGCTAAAATTCTGTAATGTACAATTTTAGTAACATATAAAAATACATGTTGAAATCGTTGTATACTCAAAACATATCGCACAAGTGATTTATTCATACTTGTACAAACTCGCATTTACTTGATTTTTCCAGTTGAATACTAATTCCACGCATATCATGGATTTTAACATTTTTATCAAAACACTTTTTTTATAAGCATATTTAAAGTCAATGATTATGTGAAGACCAATTACAGTATGTTCATATTGTATCAATACCTTTTAGTAATAAATGCATTAGCAGATTTTTTTTTAGTAGGTAATAGTAAATATTGTATAACAATACATGTGATCTATTGAAAGAAGTTTAATATTAAAATATGTACCGAAGATGATAAAATATGGATAATAAAGTTGCTGTGACCAAATTAATAGTGTGGGAATTTAAAATTAAAGCATGCGATTAGGTGGTTCTATATTAAACTTCCTTTCTATTTTATAACATTTTTGCTAGAAATTTTAGTTGGGTCAATGCATTCTACTTAAAAGTCTTTCAAGATAATGGAAAGAAGTAAAGGGTATAGTGTTATTTTATCAAGTTTATTTGTTTTGTATAACACGTATACGCATGACATTCAGTTATCCAACTAGGTATTTAACAATTATAATGTAAGTTTATTAAATACACGCAAAATTACTTTACATACTTTACAGAAAAATTGGAAACTGCCTTTCCAATTTAGCTACCTTACTACGTGTATACGAAACTTGAAAAAGCACTTTCTTCATTATAAAGGAATCCTTTTATTTTAAGATATTCATGTAAATTTACAATATTATTCAACACTTTTTAATATTAATTATGTTTATTATTTAATGTATATTTTGTATTTTACACTACATTTATAAATCTGTATGAACAAAATACTATGAAATAAATATTTACTTGTGTTTTGAAAGATACAATAATAAAATTAATTTCTAATTCTCTGATTTTTTTGTATGTCGATCTATTATTCTTAGAGCATAATTATATGATATTCTTTTGTTAAAAATAACTTCTTGTAATGAGATAACCATTATAAATTATCCTATATAGGAGACATATAAACATTTATAAATTCATTCCTTCATTATAAAATAACTTACAAAACATTAACATAAATATTTTAATATTGTTTTTTATTTAGCTATTGACTAAAAATTCAGAGCAATGATATAGTTACATTGTTAATATAAAATGTATGAATACAAAAATTACAGGCGAATTATTCAGTTTTAAAGAATAGGTTCTGTTTTAGTTATTGAAATATATATTTTTATATTATTATTAAGTTTTGTCTTTACAATATTAGTTATATTTCAAAAATATGTATATTGGCTTACTAATACCTCTGCTATATCTTCACTAATACATTTAAATGTGTGGGCAATAATTCAATGCTTTTGCTTAAATTTTTCTATAAGTAATGTTGCAACAGAGTAATAAAGTTGCTTAAGGTTCAACAAGTGTCAGATATAACTAATTATATAATTGCATATTTTATAATTGTAGAAAAGAACATGTAATTTAAACTTCATTTTAGAATCAATAAAAACCACATTACACTGACATTAGTGGTAAAAAGACTGAATGAAAGTATGTATACATTAAAAAAATATATGTGTTTATGGATAATAGTGTATGTTCTATTAACTGTAGTATAAGGAAATAAATGATGTAAAGTAAATACATTTCGTTGTATTAATTATTAATTTAACAAAACCTGAAACCCAGTGAAATTATTTTTTCGTGTACAAGGTAAGAATAAAAATCATAAAATATTTCTGTTTACAATAATGTATGTATCTATTTATTACCCGTTGATTTTTGTCTACGTTTATACATGGTGTAATGATTTGTTTTACATTACTGCCACAAATGTGATTTAAAATGTGTTATTATTTTTTTAAATAACTTATTATTTTAAAAGATTATGAATTTAATACAATTATAATTAATCAACAAGTAATTGAAGTTAATAAAAAGTTGTGTGAATGAAAATGTATTTTTCTATAAAATAAAAACTAATCTTAATTCATTTTATCTTAAGGTGTTACAAATTTTAAAAAAGTAATTACGAATGTTTTAACATTTTTAAGCGAGAGAGTTTTAATAGCTGAGATACAATAATAATTACCAATTAACTACTTTTTCTGTTTCTGAAACATATTTAACCGACTCAAAATAGAAGTGTTAATACAAAAATAGTTAATAATAAAAAAATAATTTCTGTTTAAAAAAAGAGCAAACAAATTTTAGTTCTGGAAATAATGGTAAGTTGCATTCCATTATTCTTTTTCCTGAAGTTCGTACAAATTTTGAAAACAAACTCAAGATTTGCAATATTAATGGATAATATGAAAGAGAAATTAGAAAACTATAGAAACAAAATTCATTGAAGAAATAAATTTGTATTTTTTGTATTCATTGTATTTTAGGAATTTTTGAGAAGTGTTACAATAGAAAAAATAAGAAATATATTTCCAAATCGAGGCATCAATAAAACACCATGTTCAGAAAATGTTTTTATTTTGCTTCCTTACACGCGCTGTAATAAACAATGAATTAAATTCTGCTCTCTTTACCGCGACAGTACATAAAATACGTATAAAATGAAAACATTCGTAGTTAAATAAAAAAAGGAATATTGGTAAGAATATACGAAATATTTGAAAGTATTTCAAAGCTTCCACGCCGATAACAATTCTCGAGTAAAACGTTTATGAATGGAAATGCAAGAAAATTTGAAATCGCATGTGAGATAAATATGCTAGGTTCCGCAGTGTTCGGGCATGCCTAGTGAAGAGCTTGGAAACGTGCGGAACCGGAGGAAAGCCATTGGATAGAGATCCCGTTAAAATAAAACTTCGATTTTCTGCAGCCATGAGCACCACCGCACAGGAATAATTCTTGGTGGTGGGCGCAATACCGTGTCGGCCAAGTCGGAGGAACGCGTTGCCTGCTGTTCAGTTAGTAGCCTTGCCGGCTGTTAGTGTTGTCAGTATCATCGTCGGGCGTAGTACTACGCACTGAAACGCGAGGTATTGATCATAGTGACTCGTGCAGTACTCAAGACACAAAGGATCGATTCGTGTCGCCTTCGTTTTGTCCCTGAATTACAAGGTATAGATCATCTAACACACGTGTTAATCCTTCAAACAAACGAAGTTTTGATCGTCGTGCGACCGTTGTATTCGCAATAAATAGATCGTGTTCAGAGCGTTCCGCGTAGCTTTCTGTGTAGTTTTCAGGATTATTGATCAGCGAGTCGTGGCTGCTCGTGGGGACAAAAGGATTATGTTATTTCTCATACCTCTCGAATAAAGGATGTCACGCGTTGTACCACGTTTAACATCGAAACAGAAAGAGTGATTGCTCTGTTATCCTGTGTAAACTGCGAACAAAGAGATTGTCGGTGCACTGTGATATGCGGATGCGCTAGATAGCTGAAGATACTTTGTGCCATTCGGGAGCTGATTGGTACCTAGTGCAATTTTAAAGGTCTTCCGTTGTATTTTGGTCGATTCTAAAATGTTAAGCGCGGGTATAAACCATGAGTACTTATTGTGCTTGGTATAATTTCGTGCTACAAATTGTTTTGTTTTGAAGGATCACATTGTTAGTCAAAAGGACCACGGAAGTTTATTCTAGGACCTCGTGCACCTCCGAAATTTATTATAACGTTCCAATCAGTTTTCAAATGTCAAGTACCCATTGTGTGACACCGAGTGTAATAATTTTCGTTCACGTAAATTTATTCTACTGAACGTATATCGCCTATGCTGTTTCATTTTATAATATCGAGTAGAAATTATTTATGCTCGTCTAAAATGTTATTTAGGGTTACTGATACTAAAATGACAAGATTTATTTTGGTATGTTGTGTAATATTAGGTTGATGCACCTGAATTGTATGTTGAACCAATCTTTCGATAGCTACATTTCTTCCAAAGGCACGTACAGTGGACAAAATAATATCTATATAAATTGATGTTTGCCTTCTATGTGGTAATTGTGATGTTTGTGTTGTGTATCGTGCGCCTTGGTATTTTTAAGTTGAAACTAAATGAAAATACAACGTAATTATTAATGATCATGCTTATATTCTAAAAATATTGAACATTTATTAAATAAAGTCAATCGTAAAACTTTGAGCATTGATCTTCGAACACGTACGATATTCTGGAACAAAAATATTAACACGCTTCGAAAAGGATACGTAACATTTAATTCAGTTTCGTTATATTGTTTCCCACATCAAAATTTTTTTCTTCGTTATTTATGTCTTTGAAATTCGCGTAAAGTGCCTTGAGATTTCAATTCACAAAAAATCATGTAACTATGAAGTATATAACAAGATAATTTTAACAATTCCTGCAAATCTGTCATACAAACGACTGATTGCGGTGCCCTGCGCGTCCGTAAAATGCAAAGTATTGATCGTTGCACCTCGTGTAGCTCCGAATTAAAGAGATTAATCGTATTATCTTACGTAATTTTGAGGCGCAAGCAGTGATCGGCTTAGTCACCAGGCACATTTATCAAGGTGCCTTGCACTCATTTCTTTTTCTTCATTAAAAAGTCAGGTACAAAACGATCCCATAAAGTTGAAAAATCCTCATTTCGCATACCAATTGTTCTGTTTTGGGGGGCGTTCAATACCTCGCGAACGTGTTATGTTTTTTTCCGGACATATACAGCATAAACAGAAGTAAATATCTATTAATGATTTGAGAAGCAGTGTTTGTGTTGGGGTTGAAAGTAGTGGAAGAGTGTGCGCCAAGGAGTGTAGACGCGGTTATGTCGTTGCAACACCGCCCCTAATTTTCTCGTGAGATATTTATTAGGTTGGTGCATATGAAATGTGATTTTTCCAATCAAAACTTTAAACACACGCAATTCCTTCCAAATATTAGGTATACATTTGATCTAAATAACTCATGCGTTATTCTTATAATTTTTGTCAACAACCAACTAATTTGGTTATCCCAAATTTATGAAAATAAAAACAAGAAAGTATCAGTGGCGACGAATAAATGCAAATCGGTATAGTGAAGATATGGAAACTATTTTGATTATTATTGTTAACAGCGATGGAAATTTACATAGAGTTCTTAATTTTTGAAAGAAAAAAAGGAATTTTGAGTGCTTTGGAATAGCCGTTCATTTATCGGTTACAGTTACATAGATTTTGAAAATTGACAATACTTTTCACATTTGTTTTGAAGAAAATATAAACAAGTCGAGAAGTATGCACAACTTTACAAGAATATAGAAACATTATGGGAAAGTGCATAACATTGGTCATTATAATAACTATAGTAATTATATCAACAAATTTTGCACAATTTACCATGCTGTTGATAATTATGTAAATTGTGTAATAGATTTCGCGATAAAAAGCTTTCGATTTATTTATAGATTTAGATATAAGTAATAGATTTCTTAAATAAATAGAAGAAACATCGTAATCTTCTTAGAAGTTATCTGATTTTAATTAACAAATTAATGAATATCTATAACATATCTAGATAGAATGTATTTTTCATTAAATATTTCAAATTTTCGGGTGTGTGTAGATATTTTCGACTAACTATTGTATATAATTTCCGGAAAAAACTGCGCGTGGTTAACATTTTATTCGAGACAAGGATATTCCATGTATTTAGATCGATCTAATGTATGAAATATGTTATAAAATGTCATCTAATCGTGTTGTGTAATATTATTTGATGTCTTCATGTTCCGATAACAGTATCTTTGTATACTTTTCTTTCAGAAAAATAATTTTACATCTTATATAACAAATACAAAAAACGCGATTTGTTTTATAAATTCAGAATTTTCTTGTAGACATACTTTTCGAAATGATTGAACCATTTAGAGAAAGATTTCTGAAAATTACTTTTTAGTAGTTTATACGAATGCAGTTCACGTGTTGTGAGTAAAATCTAAGATGGATAGTGCCATTCATCATTCCAAGGTTATAGTATGATAGACTCATATGTGCAGTCTTGAAAGAGGATGCAAATGACTGAACAAATCTGTTATCAAGATTTATCTGTTTATGATGTTAGTAATGTAATATAGAACGCAGTTGTGCTTATTTAAAAGAAACGAATTAATATTGGAAATAACAAGGGGCCTTGTTTTAACTTCAAACTGTAGAGGTAAATTCTGCTGTATCCTAATTTTCGTTAATAGTTATACTTCGATATTTTTTCGAAGGAATCATTGAAATTAGTTTGGAATCTAATTTAAATAAATCAAAATTAAAATAAATGATGCTATTTGAACTTTAAATATAGGCTGTTTGTTATTGATTGAAAAAGTTCCATAGTATCTTTGAGACGCAGTCGAGAGTTTATAAGAATCAGTTAAGGGTTAAAAATATTACAAGTTAATATCCTTGATTACACTTTAGCAAGAGAACAGTGTTCTATCGCATGACGCTTATCTTGGAACTATGAGGGAATAAACAATCCAAATTGCATCTCATTAGAAATTTTAACATAACGAAAAAGCGAAAAAAGTAACTACCAACATCAGCAAGATCTTTGATATTCTGAAAATAATATTACAGTAACGACGATAGTTCTCGTAATTTATGTAAGAAATGAATGATAGAATACAATACTCATTTCCATAAGTGTAACAATAACAAAAACACTAAAGATATAAGTCATGATAAGATAAGATCCATATTAAAGTTAGAAGATAATGCAAATTTATAAAATACAGGTTATATAATAATGTTGAAATAGTTTATTTCATTTATTTTATGAGTGAACAAGGAAAAGAATTGCAGTAACAGAACAGCATTCATACTCTTTCGTGCTTTTTTCGTTTTCTGCTTCTCTCTAATTATTACTTTTTAACATATTAATAGACATATTTTTACAATACTTGAAAAATATATTTCATTTGCAAGATATTTAGTGTTTAAGCGACTGTTTCATTTTCGAAAATAAAGGAAATGATTTTCTCTTATTTTTTGCGGTTAATAAGATATTTTAAGGATAAAATCATCGATGAATAGAAATATAGCAAGGGCATACGTTTTGTCGGCTTTACATTACCTTTAAATGATTCCCAGAAAATGATAACTTGAAGTATTTATCTTAATGAAGTATACATCAGTGTAAATATTTCGAGTTTTTATATTGTTTTTTATAAATATATATTGTTATTTATAAATATTTATATTTTGATATTGTTATTGTTAAAACTTTTTCCAAAACGAAAATCATTTTATCTTGGGAGTATGGTAGACTTCTGAATTGCTGTATTAAAAAAATAGATTACGACTAAAACAGTTGTAAATTAGTAGTTTTAGTTGTTCTGATATTTTTTCGGTGATCTGATACAGAACATGTAAAGTTATTTACAGTAATTAATTTATAATAAAAGTGTAAATGTAAATATTACAACAAATTGTTCAACTATAATTTGTTTTTACTGTCACATACGATATGGGTTTACAATTTAAAGTCAATTCAGTTATTTCGTGTAATGTTATAGCAACTGTGGAAAAGTTCGACATTTTTCAATTAATAACTCGTTAAATGGTATTTAGGAATGGAATCATGTAAATAAAGTAAAAAATGGAATCTCTAACAAAGTTAAGAAAACTTCGTATATGTGAAATAGTATATATATTTTGACCATCACTATGTGCCTTTTATTTAATATCGAACTTTTACATTCCTTTGATTTTATTTGTGGCAAAAGTTGTTCGATCAAATAAACTATACGCGAAACTAGTATACAACGATAATAATCGTCTTCTCACAAAATATTAATACAATTTTCAAATAACTTCTACTGTTATCCTCGTTCAAAGTATTAAAAGTAATATATTAAAAGAATGAAAAATGTGGATTAATTAATATATGTCTCTATTGCCTTCAGTAATCACGCGAAAGAGTTTGATCGGGCAGTTTTCGTCAGTGTCAGATGAAATCTTGATGCTTCGATTTAAGGGGTTTGATTGTGCCGTCTTTCACAGTTAAGAGGTACGGACACCTAGATTCAGTGGAATAGAGTGAGTAAAATTGGAACATGGACGTCAGACTGCTACTGCTAGCCCTGGGGATCATTGGGGCGATGGTTGCTACTGTCGCGACGAGATTCGGCTTTCCTGGGTTTAACAAGATTGCCCAGATCTTCCTTGCATTGGTGCTACTTCCGGTGCTATGCAGATTCCACCGAAAGCTGTACATCATCTTTAAGATGCTACCTCGGGATGTGATGTAAGTACCGAACTGAATTGTTCTCGGCTCTAACGGTACAGGTTGCTTCAGAGATGCAGATCTAAATTAGGTTCGCCGCTAGAATTCCAACACGTTAATGAACATTTGTATTTTGCAATATTTATTTTCTGTGCTAAATAAATATGTAGGTTTTTCAAAGGTGTTAAATAATTGAAGACTTTTAAATTGTTCGTCTGTTCGAAGTATTTCGATTCAACGTTATATAAATATAATACTCTGTTTCTTCGTTAATGCTATTCTATGGACGATGTTATAACTTCTGATAAGAACACGGCATAAAGCAGTATTTATTATTCATGCGTGCATTTCGGAAGTAGTATCAGTTTCCTGTGTTTTCTGCTTACTTCGCCCATGTAAAATGTTTTAAGCATATATTTGAGGTGTAGAGTCTCAAAGTTATTTTATGTAGAAAAAAAGTCTTCTCATTAATTTTCAATTGTTTGAGGTCATTTGTAATATAAAATCTATATGAGGTACCGTGTACCATCACGATTTAATGTTTAATATTTTCGTGCTTACGATATTCATATTAATATTTCTATAAATAACTATTGTTTATCTATAGATCATTGTTTCTGCAACAGATACTAAAATTAAGATTAATTTTTACTTGTTAACAAATTTTATGCAGAAAATATTTATCCTAATATCTAAGCCGAAAGAAACCAAATTTTGTAGTAGTCGTGTTTAATAATATTTTTTTATAAACTTTTTCATATGTGTGTTAAAAGCTACATTTTATGAAAGTGTTTAAAACACATGAAAATATGAAACAATATGCCAGTGTCATTTCAATGGAGTTGGATTTATATATGAAGCATCTTATTTATAGTAATTTACAAAAGAAGAAAAGAAGAGTAATTAAAATATATGGAATAATAAGATAAATACAAACACTCACATTAAAGGTTCCACCGTATCGAATATATACAAAAAAAAATTGGCACGTAACACAGAGTTTGAGTATTTACATAAGTAGAACATCTGTCTAAGGGGTATAAGAATGGAGTATAAGATTAGCTGCATGACACGAAATTTATAAATTCGAATTGCCCTATATATGTTCCTTTGAATGAACTATAATGCATTGAATGAAATAATTTTGGACTCCCCTAGAAAACACGGCACTTTCAAAATCTTTGTTAAGTCATAACAAAAGTTAAGTACAACGAAAAATAATTTCAATTATTAAGATGAATTTTATCAGAATATACGTAATTTCTTTTATTTTTATTGGTTGTATCTTTACACTAAACATAAAAAATAAATAGAAATGTATATAACAATAACAATTGTAAAATATTTACCGGAACGTTCAGTTATATTAATTTCTAATTGTATGCTAATTTTATGATATCTAATCATTTTTCGTTTGAATAATTTTTCATATTAACGTATTGCGTATCATTTTTAAAACTAAAGTACTTCAACATTCGTTTCGATTCTGTACTGTGTAAATGCGTCACAATGAGTCTTTCGTTTACTGACAATTACTTGACTATCTAAGTTTTCTGCGCATTCATTCCAATTATGATAATATTTAATGCTAATAAATGTTACAAAATTTACGAAGACCGTTTAGCAGTACAAATAAATTAGTATCAACCTGCAAACGAAATGATTTAATAATCAACTGTGATAAGTATCACTTAGACACAAATCAACCTATTATTAGTAAAAATATTTTGAATTAAAGACATCTGATTCAAACATATTTTAAAAATGTGTAATAATATATTTCAAATTTTATCAGACATTTATGGTTTGCTTTCATAAACGTTATTCTTAAAATGAAAACTTAAATATGTATTCATTATTCGTTTGAATAAATCTTTATATTTAAATTAGTATCAGTTCTGCCATAAAAATAGTTTAAAAGAGGATCAATAAGAAGTGGTAATAGTAAAAAAACCGTTTCGTTTTACATAGGTAAATCAGTTTTTGTTTTATCTGATAAAGTATAAAAAGGTTTTCTTTCAATACCGTATAAGCTTATACATCAACGGTTCTACTTACGCGATCATTATAAATGTTTCCGTTACTTCTGATAATAGAAATTTAAAAAAGTGTCTATACGATAGCAATAATATTCATGATCGATAACAAGTTTAATTTTAATTTAATTTTTTAATAAAACACTGAATTAAAAGGTAACAATTATTACTTTATCAAAAGTCTTATAATTGCTCATTAAATAAAATATATTTAAGACGATACGTCTGAATACCGTGTAATAATTTTTATCCAGCAAGATTTAAAAGAATACAAGTGTCCTCGGTATCTCATCAGGAAATTTTCGGTGGAGAATAAACATCCTGCGTGCATGAAAAGTGGATCGTGAAAGAGAAAGATCGCTGAATGCAGAAAACGAGAGTTATCATCTGTCTGACGTATACTTTCAACTTTCACATGTCACCTATTTTATCAGCCTTATCTTACACCAGCTCATTATAAATGTATATATACTCATTGCAACTTACATACAAGGTGTTACGATTCTTGTTAAAAAAGTTTTATTCAACTACTGTTCAATTTTAGAAATTTTATAGATACGAGAATATTTTCACGATTTATTTTACCTTTTAAACCATTAAAGAACGCAATTTCCATTGTTCATTCAGTTAACTGTGTTTGATGAGTATACACGTTATCATCTTAAAACTTGAAATGATACTAGTTTTTTCAACGATGAATTAGTTGTTTTTCAGATATACGTATAGTTCTTCTTCATTTTGCTTTAGTTTTTCGTCAGAATATATTATACACCCGACTCTCGATTTACGCGGACTTTTTTACGTGAGCCTTTTTCTTACGCGGTAAATTGGAACACTATTTACGCGGTAGTTTTTACGCACCATCTTAATTTACGCGATCTGAATTCAGTAACAGCAAATAAAATATACTTCTGTTTTCTAAAATGTCATTATTATTATATCTTTTGTTAAGCTATGTAAAATAAATATGTATTTCTAAAACTTATACCAGCTTTTCTTTTCAGTATTTTGTTTTCTCTTGTACCGACAGGCTCTATTTACGCGATTTTCGTTCGCGTAAAACGAACCCACGTGGGACGGAGTTTCGCGTAAATCGAGGGTCAGGTGTAGGTACATTTGCACTGCGTTTGACAAGTATATACTTCATTTCTTAACTTTATTGTACGCATAACGAGAGATTTTTGAAACTAAATTCCATAGTTAACTGGTTAAATCCAATGTTAGTCCTTTCCCTCTTGAATTTTTTTATTACTTTTGTTTACTGTAAGCTGACAGTAGCGAGTTTTTTACCTACTACGCGACATTTAGGCCATACATAATAATAGCTGAACCGACAATGAGTCTTTCCTATTTAAATTGTAAAAATGAATGCAGTTAATTCTATTCAATATGATAACAAAAATGTTGTCGCATATATTTAGTATTACACATGTGCTGTTGTTATGTTGCGAATCTTGTGTTTTTATAGCATAAAGTAACATGAAAAACGCAGGTAAATAACAATTGTAGTGAAATAATTGGTTTTCCTAATACCTTAAATTTAATGACACGTTTAGTGAAAGAAATACTTTTGTATTTAATGTCTTGTTGTTAGATGTTGGCCTATGGAAATGTAATTTTTTGTAAAGTTCATAGTCAAGATAATATTCGTTCGATCGAATATTTTTTTATTAGCTACGGTATTTTGTAATTAATATCTGTCAATCGTGATACGCGACGGAAACAGTTTCTTGTATCCGGTGACTACTTTTCAACTCCAATTCTTACTGGATGGCACAGTAAATGACCCCATTCACTACACGCTTCTAAGACCGATAAATTACCCTTTTTTTTTATTATCGAAAGCAACAAATAAAATAATACAACGCGTAAAATGTTAGTGACGAATATTAAAATATGGTATTAATCTTTTATGATGACGTTGATTTTTTAAATATTTTTTTTACGTATCTGAAAACTTCACATTTATCGAGCACTGGTAATGCATCTGTTATAAATGTATCTCAAATAGATAAAAGCTGAAAGAGATAATAACTTACAAGTAAACCATAGAAAACTTAATTTTCTAAATAAATTTATAATTTTACGATAGAAATACATGTGATTCTTTTCATTTTTTTTCGTAAAATTTGTAAGTTAGTAATTTAAAAAAATGTCGATCCAATAATTTTGGAGTTTTTGTCTATAAAGTTATTTTTATGTCAAAACGCCGGAGTATCGATAACAAATATATGTGTCCGTTAAAAAAAAAGAGCCTTAAGAGTTTAAAGTTTAAAAGTAAACAGTTAATGTGGAATTGTAATTATTGTAAGCACTAACTTGATTTTTTTGAAAAATGGATTTAATTCACTCTTTAAAAGAACGGTTAATTTTATGGCTTGTTTAGATAGGTATATCGATTTCTACCAGTGTGCCGTATATCCTAAGAAATCGGACATATGATTCACAATGCTTCATTTTAAGTTAGTTAACTATTTTAGTTACATACACATATAAAACGGTTGTTTTTGGCGATCATGTGTAGCCTTGTGCGGGTCAATCCGAGAAATCGTGTGCCGAAGTGTGGCTGTGATTGTTGTCGCAGATAAAAGCGTAACGCATGGCAAATAAGAACGACAAAAGACAATATACCACTAATTGGGTCCTAATTTTTGTACGAAATATTTTATAAATACGTCAAGTAAATGCATTAGTAACTAACTAGCTTTGAGGATAATATATATGTATTATAAACATACTAAATGTAAATATACAATATAATTATACAATATAATTATACAATATAAATATACAATATAATTACACAATATAAATATACAATATAAATATTTATATTAAACATGCAAAAATTCCCTGAAACTAAAATGGAATGTTTTATTTTTCCTACATTGTGTTTAATAATTCACGAATTCGAAACTGAAGAATAATTGCTGCATTTTTCCAAATAATTAACAAAAATGAAACATTACATTCAACTGATCAATT